GAAGAAAATACAAGAACAAAATGACAAAATAAATGAAAAATTAGAAATGATTCTAAATCTACAGATAGAAATCCAGAAGATTAATACTAAATTGTCAGAAATAAATAACACATTGAAAGAGCAAAGAAGTCGAATTGATGCAATGGAAGACAGAATTAATGAGATTGAAGACAAATACCTCAACACTTCTTTGGAAAGGGATCAATCAGGAAAAAGATCAAAACAAAATGAAGAAAGCCTAAGGTTCATGTGGGATACCATCAAAAGGAATAACCTACGAGCCACTGGAATTCCAGAACAGGAAGAGAAAACTAAAACCACTGAGAAAATTGTCCAAGACTTGTTGGAAGAGAACTTCCCTGATATGATGAAAGATGAAAATATATCCATTCAGGAAGTCCAACAAACAGGATAGACCCCAAAAGAAAATCACCCACACATATCATCATCAAACTCACCAAAACCAAAGACAAAGAATCATGAGAGCAGCACAGGAAAAATGAAAAGTTACCTACAAGGGGCAACCAATAAGATTAAGCTCGGATTTCTTGGCAGAAACCATGCAGGCGAGAAGACAATGGGACAGTATATATAAAACCCTGAAAGAGAAAAATTTGCAACCAAGAATTATGTACCCAGCAAAATTGTCCCTCAAATATGATGGTGAAATTAGGGCATTTCCAGATAAGCAGAAATGAAGGGAATTTGTTAAAACCATACCAACCTAACAAGAGATGCTAAAGGGAGCCATTTGGACAGAGAAGCAACAACAGCCAACAACAACTGACCATTAACACATATGATGATATAACCCAGAAACCAATCCAACTATGGAAGTATCCAAAGTAAATAAGTCTACAATATTGCAAACTGGGAACCAGAGACATCAATTGACAAATGAGGACAACTACAAACCAAAAAGAGGGAGAAAACTGTGTCATTATAGAATTTCCAGATGGTAGGTAAGTCAAGACAACTACAAGATAGAACGGACTGTTCTAAACTTGGGAAGAAAACTATAAATCACAGGATAACCTCAAAGAAAAATGATAAACCTTCATATCAAAATAAAAAAGAGGACCAGCACAAATATGTAGCAAATACTAAAACAATAGTAACAAAGGAAGTGATAACACGATTCATAAACAAAACAAACTCAGCATAGAAAATTATATGGAACAAAGAAATCGACATCACAAAAAAGCACATAACAAAAATGACAGCAACAAATTCATATACGCCGATAATTACATATCTGGCAAGGGACTTTCTCTAATAATTATAGAAAACTCTAGTGCCTCAACACCAAAGGAATTAACAATCCAATTGAAAAATGAGCAGAAGACATGAATAGACACTTCACCAAGGAGGATATGCAGGTGGCCCCTAATACATGAAGAGATGCTCACAATCACTGGCTATCAGAGAGGTGCAACAATGAGATATACTATCTCACCCCAGCACTGATGGCAAAGTTCAACGAGACAGAAAATAACAAATACTGGTGGGGATGTGGAGAGACTGGGACTCTCGTACACTGCTGGTGGATTGTGAAGTGATACAACCACTATGGAAAGCAATATAGCGATTCCTTAGAAAGCTGAAATTGGAGATACCATTTGACCCAGCAATCCCATTAGTAGGTATATATACTAGAGAGGTGAGAGCCAGGACAGGAACAGATATATGCACACCCATGTTCATCGCAGCACTATTTACAATGGCAAAAAGATGGAAACAACCTACGAAGAGTACATGACCAAACTATGGTACACACACATAATGGAATGCTATGCACTACTAAAGAATAATGGAGAGTCTGCAAAACACCATATAATATGGATGAACTTGTCAATCACAGAATAAGTCAATAAGTCAATCACAGAAAGACAAATATAGTATTAAATATAGTATTAGTTCGTTGTTGTGGAGGGTCAAGGAAAGGTTTATATATGGAGGTAAACTTTCTTTGTTGGTTGCCAGGGGTGGGAGGGGAGGGGAGGGAATACTGCAAAAAAAAAAAAAAAAAAAAAGCATTGACCCATGTCACTTTAGTTTTGTGTATTTCACTGTACATAAATTATATTTCAATAAAATGCATTAAATAATAATAAGTATCCTATAATACACTTAACAGGATTGTTATGAGGATTAAAAGATTTAATTCATGTAACCAAAAAAAAACCAAACCCACTGCCATCGAGTCAGTTCAAACTCATAGCGACCTCTCCTTGGGTTTCCAGGGCAATATCTCTATGGAAGTAGATTGGCCAACCTTCCTTCTGAGGAGTGGCTGGTGGGTTTGAACCACCAGCCTTCTGGTTAGCAGTCAAATGCCTTAGGCTCTACACCAGCTATTATCGTCATCTGTTACACTATACATTTTTAAAAAAGTGGTAGCTATTATTGTTAGTGTTTGTTCAGCTAGACTGTAGATTTTTCTTTCCTGGTCTTTAAATTTTTTAAGATTAATATTAAGACTTCTTGAGGACACAGCTTATGTATTAGTAACATTGTAACTAGTAGGTTCTGGGGGCGGGAAAGTGTTTGTTGAATAAATATTAAATATTCACCTTGTTGATAAAATCCATTGTTAAGGTTCTAGGAAAATGTCATTCTTATGCTGGTAAGAGTCTAAGATTGTTGAAGCATTCATTTGTTTATGTATTCATCTGGGGAGACTCAGTAGGTTTCAGAGTAGGGTTGGCTGTAATCTTTGCAGAAGCCGCTCCCCAGGCCTGAATCTTCTGTGTCACTGGGGGGATTAGAACAGCCAACTTTTGGGCTACTAGCTGATTTTAGACCATTTGTGCCACCCAGGGACCTTAAGAGAGTTAAGAGTGTAAAGCATTTTTTGGAAGGCATTCTTCATAACCTACCAACTCCAATTTTAGGATTCATTTTGCATACATATTGTACATGTGCACAAAAAATATATGCACAAAGATACTTACTGTAACATTATCTGTAATAATGAAAAACCGGAAACAACCTAAATGTCCCAAAATAGATGATAACAAATTAGTCTATATTGTCTCAGCATGGAAAGAATGACCTTAATTCCCAGTACCTTCTTAATTTAAAAACCAAGAAGTAGAACAAGTAAGAAGCCATGCCAGATCACTATCCACATCCAGAAGAATGGAAGGTACCTGGTTTTTGACTGGAGTAACGTATCCCTTCTTTCGATAGTCAATGGAGTCTGGGGCTTTGCTCTCCCAGTCTGGGATATAGAGGGTGTTATTATTGTGGGAATCAGAAAGGGGTACTTTCAGTCCTGTCATCTTCTGAACCACTTCTTCACTTGTCTAAGACAAAAAAGAAAGAGGTCAGGAATAAGTAGGAAACTAACTCAAGCAGGGCAGGTGAGCCAGGAGCTGACGTTCAACTCACCATGTCCCCCAAGTGATTCATGGCCAGTTCGTATGTGTGGACACCAAGAGAGGCCTCAAGGTTATGGATGGAAATATACTTCAAGTTTTTTTCCCAAATTAAACGCCGAGAGATTTCATTCACCTAAACAAAAGCATAGTCAGTACTGGCATAGGCTGTGTCTCGTATGTAATACTGCAGGGATTTTAGGGGAATAGATGAAACTCACATTAACAGAGAATCTACAATCAAGTTGAAGAACTCACTATGGAATTATTAAGAGCATACAAAAAGAAATATGCATTCATATATAAAGGTAATGTTCAACATCCTAGCTTATTGAGTAGCATCTGGGGTCTTAAAACCCTGTGAGTGATCATCTAAGAAACAGTTATTGGTCTCTATGCATCTGGAGCAAGAGAAAGAAGGAAATCAAAGACTCAAAGAAGAAACTAGTCTATGGGACTGATAGTCTACATGAACCCCAGCCTCACTTACCTTGAGACCAGAAGAACTAGAGGGTGCCCAGCTGCCACTATCAACCGATTGAATCAGGGACACAATAGACGGTCCCGGATAGAAGGGGGAAGAAAATGTAGAACAAAACTCAAATTCTTATAAAAGGCCAGACTTACTGGACTGATAGAGACCACAGGAACCCCTGAGACTATTGCCCTGGGAGACCCTTCAAACTTGGAAATCAAACCAGTCTCAGTGGTACCAATCAGCCAAAAGACAGAGCAGCTCATAGAATAAATAATATCCCCTGTGAGAACTGAGCTCCTCTAAATAATCATCTAAATGAGACCTAACATTTACCCTACACCAAAGATGAGAAGATAAGGGGGATAAGGAAGCAAAATTAATGGAAACAGAGCAACCAGAATGGAAATAATGAGAATGCTGACACACTGTAAAAAGTGTAACCAGTTATTTAGTAACATATATAGAAAATAGTTAAATGAGAACCTAATTTGCTATGTAAATTTTCTCCAAAATCATAATATTTTTTAAAAAGAGCTAAAAAAGAAGAAATATGTAAACAAATACAATAATAAAATGAAAAGCTCTGGGGGAGACATGCACAAAAATTGCTTACAGATTAACAGTATTAATCTGAGAAGGCCTTTCAATAGAGAAATGGAGAAGAGTAACTACATAAAGCAGAGGAAGGATAGGGCTTGGTGTTAAGGTACAGAAATGAAAACTGTATGTTAAGAGTTGAACAGGGATAGGCTTGCTTGGTTGGAGTGCTTAAAGTATTTAGATTGAAGAAAGGAACCTGGAAGCTAGTAAAGGACTAGAGAAGTCTCAGGTCCAGCCCTCCCACAATGCTCCCCTCCAAGTCCCTGGGCACCTTGCTATTGTACTGCTTCCCGTAGGTCTTCTTCCATAGCTCCCATTGGGTGTCCAGTATCTCCTCAGGGTACATAGCAAAGCTTACCATGGGCAGCAGTAGAACCTTGAGCCCCCACATCCTGGGGGAAGGGGACAATGAGGGGGAGGGGTTCACAGTTTGTCTTAGAATGAGGAAATGGCTGGAGCCATATTCCCAATCAGGTGACGTGAAACTTTTGGGAGACACAGACTCTGGAGAAATCAATGAAAGTTTCCCTTTCCTAAGAAAAATAATCTTAGGCAGTTCATGAACCTGAAGAACCCCTTCCACCCAATACTGAGGAAGGGAAAAACTAGACTTAATGAGGAAAGTAGACCGAATCGAGGATGATTTTCATATGATAAAACAAATATAGATAGGAGGGACTTGGGTTTGGATAGAGTACTAGCATATGTGGTTCCAAGTATTTTAATGTAGTTTGACATAGGTCAACCAACAAGGAGTTCTGGTGGTGCAGTGCCTGAAGCACTTGAGTACTAAATAGAAGACTGGTGGTTCAAACCCAGTGGGTGCTCTGCAGAAGAAAGATGGGGCAATCTACTTCCATAAAGATTTACCACCTTGAAAACCTAACGGGGGTCACTCTGAGTTGGAATCAACTTGATGGCAGTGAGTTTGGTTTTGGTTTGAGGTCAACCAACACACACTTCCAAGACCACCAGAACTGGGGCAAAGGTCCGTGTGGCCTTGTACCATCCAGTCCTGACCAAACCAGTGTCCAGCCTGTTCATGGAGAGGATAAGTAGTTTGCATTCCCTGATGAACCAAGGGAACTCTCCACCTTTTCCGGGCCTAGTCTGTCAGCCCCATACCTACCTTAGCCACAACCACCAATGGGGTCTGAGGTCTACCTTCCAGGGCCCATGGAGGGATATCCTCAGGGATATCTCTATACCAAGGATACCCACAGTACAGATACAGCTATCAGGGTGGCCCTTGGGAGCCTCCTAAAACAACAGTGTACGTACATGATGGAAAGGGGAAGACGGAAGACACTGGTGTCAGGCAGCCTTGGCCGCACTGGGCCCCCTCTGCAGCTGCTGCTTCCTGAACAGTTTGAAGAGCCAAGACCCAGGTTCTCTGTGGCCTCCAAATGCTTCCTGTAGGGCCTCTATCTGCTGTTACTGGAATAACAACTAGTGCTGCACAAAAAAAGAAAAAGAAACGGGGCAGAAACTGGGCGATCAGAATGGGCTTGGCACTTGTCTGTCTCCTCCAACGTCCCCAGTAGGCTTGGAGGATTTGAACAGGGTGAGGGCAGGGTGGGAGTATAGTTGGAGAATACACACAAGAGATTTGCAGCAAAGTTTTGCTTCCTGGCCATTTCTTCAAGGCATTTACTGTTCTCTTCTGTCCCTAAATTCTGAATCTGTTAAGCTACTTCTCCAGATGTTGTCAGGAGAGGTCAAGGGAAAAGTTGACAGCATTTACTGTTCTCTCTATTCATTGTGTCCTCACTCTCCTTATTTTATTTCTTCCTCTTTTCTCTTCCCCCTTCTCTTTAGGCAGGAAGCTGCCTTAATCTCAGCCAGCTGCTGTGGGCAGGGAGGTTGGCCTTTCTTTTCCAACACAAAACTTCTTGCCTCACAGGACAAAAAGCCTCAGAACCCAACTTTGTCAAAAATAATAATAATAATAATAATAATGAGATTGAAAAGCATTATTTTATGATCACTAAATTAACAGCAAAATTTTCAGTTTATTCTTGCTTCACTCTATCTTGCACTGGCTTTCTTAATTACGTATCCTCCATTTTAAGAACAATTTACAATCTGTAGCATGTCTTATGGCTTGAATAATTTTTGAATATTTGGTCTGCTTTTGTATAATCTTTGCAAACTGACTCCTGACTAGCAGGGCATTTTATAGCTGCAGTGTTACAGGCTCTGAGATATCACAAAGAGTAGGAAGCACTGAGCCACCACCCTGCACTCCCTCCCTCCCCACTAGTGAGTTAACCCTTTTGATCCCTTTTGGCCAAAGCAGAAAACTATATATGAAGATCATTTGAGGAATGGCTGAAGTTGTTCTTATATCTTTTACTTGTACTAACAACCGTGCACATGCACACATAAATCACAGAAGGAATACTAAAGATTTCCAGGCAGATTTTATTTAGCCAAGAAATGACCCAGGAAGGGCATTTGTTTTTACCCAGAGCATTAAGTCCATTTTTATCCCCACATCCTTAATACTCCTAAAATGGAGAACTAGCAGCAGTGGGAAGCTTAAAGATTTGGGAAGTTGAAAATATTACCTGTTGATGGGGAGCTGTTCTCTGGGCTGGTTTCGGCAGGAAGTGTGGATAATGTGGGCGGATGGCTAGGGGCGCTAGATTTATTCCATCAGGATTGCGGAAGTCAGTTCCAGCCCCGTCTGGCTGGAAAATTTGGAATGGACAGGAAGGCGGGGATAGAATTGCTAAGAGGGGTTAGCAAAGAGGGAAGAAGTGGATTTGCATATGGGTGGGGATCTGCTAGGTCTTTAGTTTCATTTACTTAGCTGCCCACCAGACCTCAATACACCTTACTCAAGTTGGAGCTAACCTTCTCCTTGGTAGGTAAATGGAATGACACAGTGCTCATCTCCCGGATCCTTCTCTTTAATACAATTCCCTTTTATTACCCACATTCCTAACTTTGAAACCTCCGTTTTCAATATTAGGTCTAATCCACATCTCAAGGATGAAGGAATAAATACAAAAGCCTGGAAAGGAATAAGGGAAGCCACAGGCTCCCAAATTATTTGTATTTTATGATTGTTGGCTAAAAGTTGTCATTGCTTCTGGTTAGAGAAATAGCCTGATAGTTTTGCAGAGAAAGGATATGCTGTTAGAAAGTCTGGATGAAATCAGTTCTAAAAGTAAACAAAAACTGTACCGATCTTTTTAGTGCAGCACTTAATTGATACCATCAGCATCGATGGACTCACATGTGACTCTTCGTAGTTAAAACTCTCAGATGGCAGTATGCTAATGAACATTATGTCTCAAATATTCAAATATCTGATCTGGGTCCAGTCACATGAGCTTCTCCACATGCTTCCTCCAACATCCAAGCATGTGACAGATCATAAGAGTCTAGCTCAGTCCCCAAGCCACACCCCAAATCCCACTTTCTTCCAGAAACAGATGTGGCAGAGGACAAAGAGGGTCCTGGGAATAGAAAGGATAACATATAAAGGATCTAGATTTCCTTTCTAGCTCAGCTGCACAGTCTCTCAGGAATACAGCCTTATGCCTATGATGTTTAAGATTTGCTAATGAACCACAGGCCTAGAGGAAACCAGATCCAGATTTAAAAGAGCTGAAATTTCCCCATTCTTAACTCCTTTTAATCCAGAAGAGGAGGACATCCCAGGGGAAGGCATCTAGATGTGCCCTAATAGTAAAGAGATTACAATTTCTAGGAGATGTTTCTTCTACCTTCCTAACCTGAGCTCCTTATTAATCTTCTTCAATTTAAACATTGCCTTGCTCTACCACTTGTAGCCATAATCACATAAGAATCCTGCCCCTGCAACCACATTCCTTAGATCATGAGACTAAGGGAGGGAGTTGCAAAAGAACGCAAAAATTTACTGCTTAGATGGCATTTCCTGATAGCAGGTCATTGTTGAGATGTCCTCTAGCCCACCACCCGTGGGTCAGTGTTAACCAGTTTTGGAGGCTGTGCATCCCTTCCTTCCTTTACCGCCTGATGAACCAAGATGGCCAATCCAAAGCAAGACCAAGCATAAGCCAAGAGCAAACAGCAGAATACACCTCTGCAGCAGCAGTAGTCGAGGCATCCATTTTGGAACACACAGACTCCATCTTAGAGACTGCGCGCATGCACCTAGCCTGAAGGAAGTTGAGGTTTATCGTTAGGAATTTATCACAGCCTTGTTCCACTTCCTTTCTTCACAAAGGGTCAGGATTTTATGAATACCTGCCTGCATAAGGTCTTCTGAAATCACATATCCTACAGCCTTAAAAACTGTCCTCTAAGACTGTGGTTCATTAGCAAATCTTAAACATATTTTTATAGTATATAGTATATGCTCTTCCATACAAGGCGAGAGCACCCTCAGCCTGTGAGGCTGGGGGAGACACACATGCCGTTGCCTCTGGCCATGTGTCTCTCCACCTTGCAAGGTTACTATTCTCCTATTTCTGAACTACAACTGACTTTCTAGTCATTATTCCAGAACTTGTCAGCCTGTGAGTCTCAAGCCCCAACTCACTCTCTCTCTAGGGACTTGGGCAATTCTCCTGCAGCCCTCTTTTGGTCAGATGTTCCTTCTGATTTTACTCAGATGTCTCATGATCAAGTGGACGACTAAGGGGGAGGCGTGCTGCGTGATCAGAGTCCTGTGATTTCTGATTCCTGAAATCGCAGAGTCATACTGTACTTTATTTTTGTATGTTTGGAGCTCAAGCTATGGATTTTGTCTAGATGTGAGTGTCTGTTGTTTAAGAACCAGAAAAGAATGATAAGCCGCAATCAAGATCAGACAACACAAGAAATTTTACAAAAGGAAAAAATATTTTGTTTTAAAATCTTTGCTACATGTCATTTTTTGCCACTGTAAGGCTCAGCACAGATGCCAGCAGTACAGAAATGGCCAACAAGAAACAAACAAAACAATCAAAAATAAAACCCTGAAGGAAAAGCAGAAACAATACCCCCAGAGCATCTTCTCCGTCCCCTCCCCTTCCCCCAAAGCCCTATAATAACTGTACAATATTATAGTTTTGATCACATTTAAAAACAGTTGATTATTAAAAAAAAACAAGGATTCCATTGGAAACTCAACTTTTTGGTTTCTTAAATTGTGGTATAAATATATATGTATACTGTATGTGTGCACATAGAATAAAAAAATAAACTGTCCCCTTTTTGACTCCACTACCTGGCACCAGACTGGAGACAAAAGGGAGGGGAACTCAGTAAATGACATTCCCTTAGTCTTTCCAAGGCCATCTATGCTCCTCAGTTCCCTATGGCTACATTTATTATGTCTTCTCCTTTTTAATTCAGACTTGCACTTAAGATACTGGCCTGAACCAATGGGGGCGGGGGGGAAGGCATTACACATGATTGTTACCTGAGGAAGGTAAAAAGTGAAAGCAGTAACCTGTATCCACATTTATATGGCTATAGTTAAATACTAAGTGACCCTGTTGGGATGGGAGTCCCGGCCCCATCTATCACATGGAATTATTATACTTGAATCTAAAGCAACATCCAATCTTAAGACTGGAGAGAGAACAAAGAGGAAAGAACTACAGGTTTAGGAGAGACCTCTATTTCTTGCCAGACTGAGGATGGGATGAAAGAAGCTACTCTGCAAGAGGGCTTGGTATTTGGTTTATACCCCAACAGTGAGATTTTCTCTCAGATTATTAATCCAAGAAGTTGAGTTTCCGTGCAGAAATAACTTATACAGAACACACATCATATGTGATTCTCACAGAAAATGCAGCATTGTCTTCATGGCCAAGTCTGGGGTTTCTGAAAGTGTTTATCTTGCCAGCCCATTTCCGTAATGTTTGTAGATCTTCCATATAAGGTGAGAGCACCAAAAGCAGGAATGACCCAGCCTTATCACTAAATGTTTGGTGAGACCAACCAGATCAACAGAAGTCTTCATGTATTTGCTCACAGTTGCATATTATCTGGGCATGGATGTTAGTGCAGCAAAGACATTTATTTAAATCCTTTTTGGCTGCAATACTAAGTGGAAATATCAGGAAGATTCAATACCTTAGGACTATTTAAAAACACACAGAAAGACAAAGATAAACTCTGGGACAAATTTTGCATAACTCCCTAAAAGGGAGAAAAAGAAGTAACACACACACACTCTCTCTTTCTCTCTCTTTCTCTCTCTCTCTCACACACACACACACACACACACACAACTCTTTCTCTCCCTCCCTCACTCACAAATTTCTTTCCAGAGGAATTGCTCACAAGCAGAAGGGCGAGCCTATGCTCAGTTCCTAAATCCATATATACCTACCATGTTTCACTGTCCTCAAATATGAGGACATTTCTCCTCTTCTCCACCCTATTCAGAATTTCTTTCCAAAAATATGCCATAGTATCCAAGGCAAATAGTGGGTATCAGGTTTCCTCTAATCAGCCCCTTGACCCTAGCACAAATCATCTCTGCATAAAATTCTGGTCAAGAGACATAAGGAAAAGCATTCTTAACCTCACCTAGCCTCATATTTTCAAAGGGTCCCAAAAGCCTTGGGAATTCATTCCACTGCATCTAGAAATGTTATCTCACAGAGGCAGGAGGGTTAGGGAAAAGGGCAGAAGGGAAAAGGGGTACATATTAGGGGTGAGGGAAGGGAAGAGAAAGGAACTTTTATTCTGTTTACAGAAAGATTTGCTTTATAAAACAAATGGTGATTTCTTCCCCCCCCCCCGTCCTCACCCCAATAGTTCTATTCTGAAAAGGAGGGAAACATAGTTAAATCAGGAAATTCTTCATTATTGAAGCTGTTGCTCTGGTCTCCCAGCATGGACAGCATCTCCTGATGAGGAAAAAAAAAGAGTAAGTTAGGGGTCACAAACCTTGATCTCTTACATTTATTGAACTCCCTCCCAACACTCTCCTGCACCACTATTCCTGACCCCAGAGTCTCTGTTGTCCTGAGCTCTCTTACTCCTAGCAGCTTCCTAATTCCTTAGATCACAGCCTTTTTCCTAGTTCCTTCTCTGTCTTCCTCCTGTATTTGGTCATGTTCCTTATTTTTCAGTTTTCAATTTTTGAAAGGAAGAAAGAAATCTGCTGGTCACATTCATATTATCTCCTGCAGACACATAAGGAGTACCTCTTATCCTATTTGTTTTCCACCAACACCTGTTTTGGCTTCTTTCACATAATGTATCTCTTCATGTCTCTCCTGTTTTCTCTCACACATTCCCAACCAAACACTTCAAACCACACATGCCTCCTTCTCTGTCTCTCCTTCCTGGCCCTTTCTGTCCAGTTTCTGATTTTTGAAGTTCTTTTCTTCCTCTCACCTGGAAGACCTCGGGCTGGCCGGGCTGCTGTGCTGACGGTTGTTGAACATGCTGCTCACTAGAACTTGAACGATGATGAGGCTGCTGGCCCTGCCACTGTGGCCAGACACCCACACCCTCTGCTGTCCGTGTCTGGAATTGTCCCGCAGTCTGTCCAGTCTCAGGAGCTAGAAATACAGCAAGGAAGAATAAATACCTTCAACCTACTAATTGAATTGAAGATATGAAACTAGCAGACAACTACATGCAAGCCATTAATTTTACCTAGAATAGCTTCTGTCTTTATCTATGCTAATTAATACCTCTTCTATTTCAAAATCCAGTCACAAATTAACCTATCCTCTCTAGGTAGCCTTTCCAAAGAGCCCAATGCTCATTTATATTCAGTCTGCATCTTACGAAATTTATAACAATTTACATGCTTTTGGATATATGTGCTAACGTGTTTTTCATGTGGAGGGGTTTAAAATTCCAAACAGACTGCTACCTTCTAAAGAATGCATTTGTATTTCCTCACAAATAGTTCACCCAAGACACAGACAATTTTAACTACCAAAGTAATTTTCTTTAGTGATGTGATTTTCCTGTTACTCTCCTACTGATTGATCCAAACTCACCAAAGCTGGATCCATGGTTCGTGAGACTAGGGTAGGTAGCAGCACCAGGTGATGTAGTAGGAGCACCAGGGAGTGACATGGGGCTGAAGGAGGATGGAGTTTGAAAGTTTCCCACAGCAAAATGGGGAGAACGAGTCTTGGCGGTAGCCTGGGAAGTCACCTGCTAAAGGAGAGAAGGGAGTAAGGAACAACAAATGGAGCATTAACATTATTGCACATACCATTCCTACTGCGTCAACCCTCTGTCAATCAGTGTGTTCTCTGAACCAAGCTCATCACTCACTCATTTTTCCTACTGTCTCTTTCAATTAACTCCCTATCTGCCTGACACTATCTGTTAGGCAGCTGTGATAAAGTCCAAAAGTCAAAACTATGGGATTAATAAAACCATACATTGAGTTATGATTAAATGTAATCAGACATTTAATTAATTAAATGATTTAAATGAAAGCACTTTATAAAGTTATATAAAAACTAGAGATGTTAATAATAGGTATTATAGGTAGAGAAAAAAATTGCAAAATTTTATCATTTAGTCTATACTGCATTAATTCATTCCTATTGATATCTTTTTTATTAAACTTTTTTTTCATAATAGTAAGGAATATTTGGTAGCATAGTGGCTAAGACACTTGCCTGCTAACCAGACAGCTGGCGGTTCAAACCCACCAGCCACTCCTTGGAAGGAAGGTTGGGCAATCCTACTTCCGTAGTGATACTGCCTTGGAAACCCAAGGAGGGGTCGCTATGAGTCGGGTTTGACTCGATGGCACATAACAACAACAATGTATTTTTTACATAACTGATTTCATACTGTATATAACAACTCCAGAGCTTGTATTTGGCTTTTTTTTTTTTTAAATTTAAGTATTACTTGTACAATATAAATATATATTAATATATGAAAGATTATTTGCTTTAGGCTTAATCTATTATATATCATATATAAGAATTTTTCAATTTTGAGGTAAACAGAAATTATTGTATATAAATTAGAATTTGTCTTTGTTACTGTATCTATTAATAAAGTAAAAAGTTCTTAGAATTTACTCTAAGAAGTAAAGACTTGAAAATCAAACCTGTTCAGAATGTTCTGTTTCAGCAATTCTGATCTAAAGTGGGTACGTGAAAAACATGAATTGTCATGACATTTTTGGATTATCTATGGTTTTAAATTATCAATCTGCTCTAATAAAGATGAGCACTAGCGAGGAGGGAAGGGAAGGTTAGAAGGAAAATGTCAAAGATTAACAATAATGTTTGTGCTTATGGAAAAATAAAAACCAACCAAACAAAAAATATACAGGGACAGCCAAATAAGAAGCTTTACCTGGGCAGAGAAGCCTGGGCGGGTGCTAGGGGTCCAAGATGGGGCTGCTCCCTGGGTGGGATTGGAGTGACGGGAAATCTGGGCCAACATTTGCCCTGCAGAAGCTGAAGGCTGAGAGATAGGGGCCAGACCACTATTCCTAAGAGTGAACAAATAGTGAAGTAAGAGGATTAAAATACTGAATTTATTACAGAAGCTAGTAATCAAAGGACAATCTAGATCTAGCCCTAGATAGCCTTGACCTCCCTGGAGTTAAGAAAAGTTTGATACTGAATTTTGAAAAAATGAGAAAGACTGACAGTTACACACTGACCAGGACATACAGTGTTGGAACCTAGAACATGGCAATAGGACAGGTGCAAAGAAAGAAGAGGAAGAAAAGCAGCTTGCCTCACCCTAGGCACTGCAAGCTCCACTGCTTTATCTGAAATACTCAGAGAAAGTTAAGGAAGAATTCAAGTTGGATTTAGCAACCAAACACCTTAGGGCCTTGTAAAGCAGCACACACAAATGGGGCTCACCTGAAATTCTCTGCCGGCCGGGGGGTAGGAGGGAATGTGGTGCCCTGGGAGAATAGCTGTTGGGTGGCAGGGACAGTGCTGGAGGAGATGCCTTTATTCTGATCTGTGGACCAAAAGGAGTAGGGGGGAGGGCTAGTCAAGGGGCTGAAGTTATTAGTTTCAGTAAGTTCCTATATATTTATTTATGAGGTATTATGATTAAGTGGAAATATGTTGGAAAATTACTGGCTGGTAGGCAGCAGGTCCATCAATAAGCAATCTAAATGAGAATTTAAAAGGGAATTGAGGAAGACAACATACCCGCATTGATGCTGGAGTAGATTTCTGAAAATCTTGGATCTCTATCCTGGGCAAACAGACCATCTGACTTCTCAAGGGGCTTGCTGTGTTCTGGCCCTGTGGCTGTCACAGGCTGAACAGAGACCTGTAGAAAGCAATGGTAATAATAACCATGAAGAACTTAACAGAACAATCCAAAACCCTAAAATTCACTGATTCATTTATTCTTAATGAGCACTGGGAGATATTTTTTAAGGAAATGCTCACCGTCCTCTTCAGGGAAGAAAACAAACACACCTGGGGATGATTGTAGCTCGCCAATCCATCTCTTCCTGGGACAACTTCCAATTCTGTTTGCTGTTGTTGCTGCCTATATGTTAAAAGCCAGTAAGGAGAGAAATGTGCAGAAAGATGACTTTATAAAAGAATCTGGGAAAACTTTAAAAAACCAACCAAACAAAAATGGGACTGTAGATGGCCATTCCCTGCATCAGTGACTGCCCAATAAATGATTCTTCCACTATTTCTCACCTGGGTGTCAGCTGCCCTGAGCCCATCTCCAGGGGTAAATTAGCTGTGGGACCTAGCTGTGGCCTCTGGATCGTGGTGGTAAGTGTGGGCCGTGGTTCCTGGCTAGAGTTCCTAGGAAAAGAGAGAACAGACAGAACACCACCACCACAAAGAATCTGACTCTGTTTGCACATAAAGCTCTATAGATTCATCTGTAGGTAAGGCAATCACTAATAAACCCCTCTTTAAAGTTAACCTATGACTTCAGTTCCAGCAAATAATTCATACTCTGGATAGAATGGTACAAATAGAAACTATGTCTTATGGCCCAAGGGTTCATTTTGTTTGGGTCCTAGCTGGTTCTAGGTATTTAATACATAGTTGGTGTGTGTGTGTGTGTGTATGCATATGCACACATACACTAAAGAGGAGATGGGGGACAGAAAGATATAGAAAGAGGAACTGGAACAGAAAAACTCTGGGAGATAAATTGATCAACAGTTTATGTAACTTTGCAAATACAGGTTAACTGAGGACACAAAGAGGCCCAGAGCACCTATCAGAATACAGTAATTAATTATAGAAAGCTTTTCCAGGAGATTTTAAGCCACTGACAGCAGTAACTGTTTATTTTATAAATATAATTTTAGGTATTTATTCCATGTGACTTTTTGAGCTGTGAGTATACAATAATGAAAGGTATAACCTGATTAATGTGGTTCAATCTGACTACTTTTGCTATTCCCTTTGGTAATGAAGTATTTTTTGTTGTTGTTTTCAAGTCATAGTGACCCATGTGACAGAGCAGAAATGCCCCATATGGTTTTCTTGGCTATAATCTTTATGGAAACAGATAGCCAGGTCTTTTTTCCTCAGAACTAGGTAGGTTCCAATTGCTAACCTTTCAGATAGCAGCTGAGTGCTTAAACCATTTATGGCACGAGAGCTAAAAAAAACCAAACTCACTGCCATCGAGTCAGTCTGACTCATAGTGACCCCCCCTTGGGCTTTTGAGGCAGTATCTCTATGGAAGTAGATTGCCCAACCTTCCTTCCAAGGAGTGGCTGGTGGGTTTGAACTGCCAGCCTTCTGGTTAGCAGTTAAATGCCTTAGGAACTATGCCACCAGAGCTCATTGGTTATGAAATATTTTTTATGAATATTTTTTTAGATTTCCCATGCTAAACTGTAAGCTAACTGAAGACAGAAGCTGTTATGTATAGGCAGTTCCTGGGTTATGAATGAGATCTGCTCCTAACATTTCTTTAAGAATTTGTAGGTCAGTCAGAACAGATGCACATGGTTCTTTTTTCTTGGAAGTGCTGAGAGACTGAATACTTTATTATTTACACACATAAAAGAATGGGAGAGTAGAAACTAATGATGGGGCAGGGGCAGGGGCAGGGGCAGGAAGATGACTCTGGCTTAGTTAGTGGTGATGAGCTCATCCACCCCTCAGTCTTCATAGCTCGCATCTGGCAGATAAGTGAATGATGAAGGGGAACTTTCAGACCTTGAGGTCTTTCATGGCAATGAGCAAGGGATCTGTCCCCGCTCCAGTTCCACCATCATGAGGCAGGGGGAATGGAGCACACATCACGATCTGGGAGGGCTTGGGTACCCAGCACTTGGGCTCACGTGTATTTAAGTCATATATGGTGCAGTGATCCGCTTCTGGTTGGCCTGCAGTTGCTCCTCAGAGGGGAAGATGACGTTCTCCTGGCCCTCCCTCTCCCCAGCTTTCTCCAAGTCATCTAGCCCTTCATCCTCCTCCACAGCATCAAAGTCATTGCCATCAAAACTGTCCTTATTGTTTGGCGTAACTGCCTGCACCGCAGAGACCTGGCTCTATACCCCACTGCTGTGCAGACTCACAAATAGCATGCCTCTGCCTCATATGACGCCACACACATGCTTGCATATGGTTCTTATTTAGCCTTAATTTAGTGCAAGAAAAGGCTCAAAGATTTTTCAATGATTAAAAAGCTGCTTGTGCAGCAAGTGAAGGTGTTGCAAGGAATGGTTGGCTCAATCATTTCAAAATGAAGGCAAATTTACATAACATTAAAGCAAAGATTCAAAGACAGCAGCAGCCCCCCAGTGCCTCATTCAAAGATGGCAGCCAACTGCACCACTTGGACTATGTATGCCTCTCCACAGTCCTACCAATAACCCAGTCTCACACATCAGGCTCCTAAATGGGCTCATTATGTCTCCTGTGAGTCTCCCATTACAGGGCTTCAACCCTCAATTTTTCCCATTCTGGTTACTAGGATGAATCACCCAAATTGTAAAAACTTCAGGTCTGTTCCTGTTTTGCTTCACAGGCCACAACAGAACCAGTTTGAAGCCCTGCCATTAAAAGGCAGAAGGAGTTTTGTCCATTAAGTCAGTTCCTTATAGCCGGGGACTACCTATATACTGTAACAAATTATCAAATAGCTAAACAAAGGTACCTTTTGGGCTCAAAAGATACATACTGACATAACTGGTATTTTTCTCCTCTCACTTTCCAGTCTTCTCAAAAGCCATGAGGTAAAAAAAACCAGGACTGATAAGTTTCTCCCATTTATGTTATGTTCCACATTCCAAAGCTCAACTGGCTATTATGATAAAGCCTCAAAATGTAGATTTCTTGGGATTGAGTCCTGGTTTCATGACATCCTTCCTACTAGTGTGGCGTAGGGCAAATTATCTAATCTATCTGAGACTCAGTTTTCTTATCCTTAAAATGCAATTAATTCTTACCCCAGTTTTCCATTTCCTTAATTGATTGCAGGAGTATATCAATCCATTTGATACATTCAAAATTAGCTAATTCAAGACTTGGGCAGGTATGAGGGGAGGTACACTCCTAGGAATTCTGTCAGAATTCCTTGGCTTATCAGAGGTCTGCCCAAACCTGAGTGAAAGCATAAGTACCGGGATCCCATCCTTAATATTTGATTGAGCAAAGCTTACATTTTAATAGAAGCATCCTCTATTCTTTTTCTTTGGAGCATCTTCTATTCTAACATTAATGACTTTTAAGTTTAATATCTAATATTGACTTTTAAGATTAAATTATCTCTAGCAATCAATGAAATAGTATGAAAACTTGAGAAGAGAGAAAGATAGCTAACTAAGGCCTCCTTACTCCTAATGCCAATGGTACCTGCTGCAGCACCACCTGGAGAAAGGCAGGGGAAAAAGGTCATTTGGAAATTCTTTCACTTTTATCTCCACTATCTGCCCTTTCTCTCATAAAGCCCACTATGTCAGGGACAGAGTCACTTCCACTCCTCAAATTGCAAAGTCTAAGTGGATTCTGAAGTAAATATTGCTAACTCTGCTGTTTGAAAGGGCCTACAGCCTAAGGATTTTCACCTCTTTATTTTAAGGAGATTAAGTCTTCAATATGGTAAATGCTTCTATGTGGCTAAAGAAAAGGGTTCTACAGAAGAGCTTTTACACCTTAAACGCATAGTATGCTATTGTTTTGATGCTTTAGTTAAAGACAAATAATGGTTTCAACAAGTTTGAGATAGCTCTGATGTAAATCTACAGAAGGCAACTAACCATTAGAAGCTTAGTCAAAATAGGGAAAGACCTGCATCCCCATTTTATAAAGGCAATCACACACAGAAGCTATTAATTAATGCTGCTCTTGCTGTTGCTATTTATATCCTTGGGAGTTTAGAGAAATAATCTAGACACTTTAAGCTTTATCCTTCTGGAAGAACATCTTCAGTTTCCATAATACAGGACTCATCCTTATCAGTAAGTTATGGGTCCTTAAATAGTTTCCAACTTGCAAATGAAAATCCTTACTATCAGACAATATGTCTGTAAAGAAGTGTTGAGAATGAAGTGTTGGTTGATGGAGATGCCACATTTATGAAACATACATATCTTAAGCCTTAGCCAGAAAACACACACCTTAGAGGAATATACTAAAAAATAGTGATATTTCAATCTTCTTTCTTAATTTATTCCCTTTAAGAATATAGTAGATTGAATAAATATATATTCCAATTAATCAAATTTTGATCACTTTCATAAGAAAAACACTAAAAGTACATTGAAACAATAACAAAGCCTACCTCTGGATAGTGAGAATTTTTCCTTTGCTCTATACTTTTCAAATTTTCTATAAAGAATATTTATTTAAAATTAATTGTGGGAAAGATACATAAAATTGGGGAAAGCTGTATTTTCAGAAACTTAAGTTCTTTAAAATTTCAAAATTTAAACAAAATGGAAACACAAAACAATGCTATGTAATATAAAGATGCAAAAACAAAAAGACAACCAAAACTGCAATGATCATGACCATACAACTGAGTCCTAAGTTAATAAAATGTTATAACTTGATCCACTCTTTTACGTTTTTAATAAACAGAGAATTAAACTTTATATGCCCTAAAAATTGAATTGGAGGATACTCAATTTTACCACCAGATATTATTCATACTTGCTAATTATTTGTAAGTAGATCTTGGTTCCAAGGCCAATTCTATAGAAGTAAATTAAATAGGAAAGAAATAAGCTGACAATTTACATCCAATATGATGGCTAGAATCAAAAGGACAGACAATAGCAAGTGCTGACAGGTATGCAGAGAAACTGAAACTCTCATTCATTGCTAGTGGAGATGTAAAAAGATGCAGCCACTTTGCAAAACAGTGTGGCCACTCCTCAAAAGTTTAAACATAGAGTTAGCATATATCCACACAATAACTAGTACATGAATCATAGCAGCATTATGCACAGAAGCCAAAAAATGGAAAAAACACAAAAGTTCATCAACTAATGACTGGATAAATGAAATATGGTATATACATACATTGGAGTATTATTCAGCAATAAAAAGAAATGAAATACTGACACATGCTGTAACAAGAACAACTCTTAAAATGTTAACTGAAAATGGCTAGTCACAAAAAGACTATCTGCTGTATGATCCCTTTATATGAAATGTCTAAAATAGGAAAATTAATAGAGACAGAACAGATAGTGGTTGCACAGGGCTAAGGAGGAGAATGGAGATTGACTGTTAATAAGTATAGGATTTTTTCTAAAAGGAGATAAAAATGTTCTGAAATTAGATTGTGGTAATGATTACACTGAACTGTACACTTTAAATGAGTCAGTTGTATGTTATACGAATTAAATCATAATAGTTTAAAAAAAACACAACTAAGCTGAGAAAGAAAGCTCAAACAGAAAAGATTCCAGGAAAAGAAGAACAGAAACCAATGAAAGAGTACTATGTATCTATACATTGTATCTGAGATCTACAAATTATGGCCCATAGGCCAAATGTGGCCCACTGCAACTGCATCTATATATATAAAATAAAGGCTTACTGGAGCACAACCATGTATATTCATTACAATTTGTCTATGACTACATTCGTACTTTTGTGCTACAACAGTAGAGTTGAACAGTTTCAGTAGAGACCATATGACCCACAAAGTCTAAAATATTTACTGTCTGGCCCTTTACAGAAAGACTGGGCAGAGCCCTGCTCCAGAGGAAAATTCTGCCAGATTAGAAGCAATAAAAAATGGCATATAAAATCAAATCTTTTCTAAAAAGTACTTATATATAACACTGAAATATAAGCCCTTGACACCTCAGAACGCAGTCTCTGAAGAACTGTTGTCTAAAATCTTATTCTGCCTGGATCAACTACCCAAATCCTATAAGAATTGGAAGATGAGGAACTTGAACCTAATGGTTAAATACTGGAAAGGTAGAAGAGAAGGAGATAGCTTGATAAGGCTAAGCAGACTTGGCCCATGAGAAATCCCAACACTAGAAAAGGCCTTCATAGTACATACTTCACACTGGTGTTGGTACATATGATGTACTCAATTTCATCTGAGTAAGGGTTCTGGAAAGTAAAGGAGCTGGTTCTCATCCAGAGCCATTCTCGGTTCTTAGATCGGAACCGGAACATGACAGACAGCACCTGGCCTTTTAACTTCACCACCTGAAAAATTGTTCATGCCATCAGTGAAATGCACAGGAAAATTTCTTTAGAAAATTAAAAAAAAAAAAAAATTCCCATTTCTACAACTCTAAGACTCTTATGTCATTGCCCTTGAAGTATTCTTTCAATGTTACTAACAAACACAACATGAGGAATGAAAATTAAGTGACTAAATAAGAGGTACACTTAGCAGGTTTCTTTCCAGAGTCCCAAACTATCTGACCACTCTAGCAGAGCCAAACAAGAGTAATTTTTATTTCCAGGAGAAAGAAGACTGTTTCCCCACTGTCCTTAGAAAGTCCTTTATATGCTGAACTCACAAATGTATACTAGAAATTTGTATGTTTAATGACATTCAATATAGCTTAAATATGGCTCTTTAATCCTACCTTTTCCCTACAAACATGAGAATTCTGTTCTTACAACACACATGGAGATTTCCATAAATAAAACTTAAGTTCATTTTAGTCTTTTTTTTTTTTTTAAAAAAAGAAAGATTCTAGTCTCATGGACTAGAAAATAATCTTTTGAATTGCCCTCCTTAACAATAAAAAACAGTAATATTAGCAACTAGCATTTACTTTAATCACTATGTGTCAAGCACTGGGTTAATACTTTATATGCATTATTTTATTTAATCTTCCCAACAACCCTCTAAATTAAGTACCATTATTATACTCACAGTATCAGTAAGGACACTATGAGGCTTAATGAGGATAATTACTTATGTAATATAAACCAAGAGCTACTACTACTAAAGCCAAATCTATCTTGAAACTAAATTGACCAGCAGCTACTCAGGAAATAGGGCCTGAAAATAACAATGAAGAGTCAACTCTTACCCATCTATAAAAGAGCTCCCTGAAGTAAATGTTTCTACTACTATTCCCAGCTCAGCTAAAGCCTAGCAAAAAAACCTTAAAGATAACATCTTGGATACACTTAACTAGATACAAGATAGTGAGTAGCTTCTAAACCCCACTGCCATGGAGTCAATTCCAAATCACAGCAACTCTCCAGGACAGAGTAGGACTGTTCCAGAAGATTTCCAAGGCTAATCTTTAGGAAAGTAGATTGCCACATCTTTCTCCCAAGGAACAGCTGGTGGGTTTAAACAGGTTAGCAGCCAAGCACTTAATCACTGCACCACCAGGGCTCCTCAGATGATACCAAAGCCAAACAGAAATAACTTGGACATTAGCCATACTTTCAAAGTATTAGTCCTTTTTTGTTTCTTAAACACACAGGTTAAGTACAAAAGAATATAAAACTGCCATGCCTATCACAGTGTTTAATTAATCAGTAGTCAATAAATATTTGTGGAATGAGTGTAATAAATAGAGTAAAATATTTATTTTGATCCAAACCAGGGAAAAAAAGTTACCTGTTGGAAGCTGTCTCTTAGAAGCTGTTGGTCTTCAGGATGACAGAATTCCACAATATTCTTTCCTAAGAGTTCCTAGAAAGGGAGGAAGAAAAGTAAGATAGTACATTTTTATGGACAATCTAACTTTCCCAACATACCAAGCTGGGGACTTGGGTTTTACTCCCCTGCCTTTATCCTAGGAGCTCTGGTGGTGCAGTGGGTAAGGCATTTAGCTGCTAACCAGAAGGTACACTGTTCAAACCCACCAGCTGCTCCGCAGGAAAATGAGGAGACAATCTGCTTTCACAAAGATTTACAGCCTTGGAAACTCATGATGGCAATGGGTTTGTGGTTCTGAGTTTTTATTTTTTGGCCTTTATCCTAAGATTATAAATAAGTGTGGAAGAAAAAAAGAGAGAGAAACAAACAAGATGAAATCTGCTAAGCAGTGGGTCTCTATAGACATATTCAGAATATTATACATTTATTTTAACTATTTCTTTCAACTTTCATGTAATTTATATATAAAATTCACCCATTCTTGTACAATTTGATGATTTCTAGTAATACTGACAATTGTGCAACCATTACTACACTCCAGTTGTAGAATATATCCATTGCCCCCAAAAGTTCCTTTGGGCCTGCCTGCAGTTGGTCCGTGCTACCACCCCACCCCCACCCCTCCAGGCACTGATCCGTCATCTCTTTAGTTTTGAGTTTTCTAGAAATTTCACATAAATTGAATTATATAATATGTAGTATTTTCTGTCTTTTTTCACTTAGTATATTTTTGAGGCTCATCTATGTCACTACACATATAAATAGTTTGTTCCTTTTTATTGTTCATCTGTATTCTATAGTTTGTATATCCATTCACTATTTGAAGGATATTTAAATTATCTCTAGAAGAATACTGCTATACATATCTGTGTACAAATCTTTGTGTGATTTTTCCTGGGTAGACAGGAGTGGAAATACTAGGTCCGAGGGTAAGTATACGTATAACTTTTAAGACACTGCTGAAATGTTTTTCGAAGGTGGCTGTCCCATTTAATACATTTGTCAGCAACATATAAGGGTTCCAATTTTTCCACATTTTCACCAAGACTTGGTACTGTCAGTCTTTTATAACTAAAGCCACTGTAGTGGGTATATACTGCTATCTCTTTGTGGTTTTAATTTGCATTTTTCTAATGACTAGTGATGTCAAATATCTTTTCTTATGCTACTGGCCATTCATACTTCATCTTTGGTGAAATTTCTATTCAAACCCTGTACCTTTTTTTATTGGTTGCTTGTCTTAATGAATGGCAAGAATTAATTATATATTCTGAATATAAATTCTTTTACAAATACATGATTTACAAATATTTTCTCCCAGTTTTTGGCCTTTTTATTTACTTAATGATGTCCTTTAAAAAAAAAAATTATTGAAAAGGAAATACACCCATACCATATATAAGTCTGGCAGAGATAGTTCTACATATGTATTTGCATGTGCTGTAATATTCATATATATAATAGAGCTAACAGGGGGCAAAATTATGGTAACTTCTTAGTCACAGCCAAACACTTCAAAGGAGTGAGTCGTTGGGCATGTGGGCTCAGACCATGGCTGTGAAGAACACAAAACTCAAATTGTGTAACATTATTACACAAAAACAATTTTAGTTTTAATGAAGTCCAATTTATCAACTTTTTCTTTTGTGAATTATGCTTTTAGTGTCATATAAGAAATCTCTGCCTAACTCAAGGTCACAAAAATTTACTCCTAGAAGGTTTACAGTTTTTGCTCTTACATTGAAGTCTTCAGATTGATTTTTGTATATGATAGGAGGTAAGGGTCTAAATTAGTTTTTATCCCAAGTGGATATGCAATCATTCCAACACCACTGATTGGAAAGAATTTCCCACTGAACTGTCTTGACACCTCTGTGGAAAATTAGTCATAAATGTGAGCACAGACTTTATTCTGTTCCATTGATTAACAGATCTATCCTTACAGTGACACCATAGTGTCTTGATAACAACAGCTTTATAATCAGTGTTGAATCTGATAGTATAAATCCTCCAACTCTGTTCTTTTTCAAGATCTCTTCACACAGCCATCATGAGAAGTAATCCCTGGCTAAAAATTTATATAATTACTTATACCTCATGCAGTGTAGTAAATTACTTAGTGTGGCTTTTCTACCCATAAGTCTTTGTAAACTCCAAGGTGGGATTTTCTATGAGCAACTGAGGAGCTATCCACCTGGGTTATTTCTGTTGGGCGTGGCACAATACAATGTTCTGGGAGGTTCCCACTCTCTCTCACGTGCTTAGAGTTCTGATGCTGTGATTGGCTAGTTTGACCACCCTGCAGGGCTCAAAAGGAGGCCTCCTGGAGGCAGAACTCTCTCTGATTGCTGGTGGAGGAAGATGTGCTGCCGAAAGAGACACGCGACCCTGAAAGAGACACGTGCTGCTGGGAAAGACACGCAAGAGACACGCATCGCTGAGTGAGACACCGAGGGACCAGCATTGCTGGGAAAGAGACTGTGAGAGACTGTTGGCTGAGGGACGGTGGGCTAGGAGAGAGACTGAGCGCTCTTCCTGAACTTGAGTTGTAGCCTGGTGCTTCCCTAATAAATCCCGTAATCCATGAGTTCTGTGTGGCCACTGCAGCAAATTATCAAACCCAGGAGAGAGGTGGTGGGTGCTTTGGGAGGAATGGTTGGTGAAAGGGCTGGAGGGAGGCAGCATGTCTGGTCTGGCAGGAATAGGCCTTGGGTTACTGCTGGTAATCCTGTCTTCCTCTTGTGGGATTAGAGAAGGTCAGAACATGTGGCCTCCTTGCCGTTTTTGCACCTCAGTTCAGGTATAGTTATCTGGCCTATTAAATGAGAAATCTAAATAAAATTACAGTAATTGGTGCTAATTTTGCATATTTTGTGGGTTACCAGATCTGGATGATTATATGATTTATCTAAAGGTGGCCATACCATTATAACTAATTCAAATGAGCACTTCAGCATCATTATCTGTATTAATATAAAAAACACAAAACACATACATATTCGTATCTACTCCTCCTATTTCATTTCATAAGTCATATTTCTCTAGATGGAATTCTAGCCTTGGTAGGAAGCTAAGAACAAATCTAGCTACCAACAGAATCAGATTATCTCTTTTTTCGAACTGGGGCTGATATGCTTTGGCTATCTCTGGAATTACATGACTAGATAATCTCAACATGGCCAAGGGAAAACAAAGGTCTAAGTATAAGTGGTATAATAGCTTCAGCTCCTCACCTGTGGCTGGTAGCCAACAGTAGCCACACAGCGGTGATCCACAAAAGTGAAGATTCCTTCAATGTTGTGTCGGGAGATAAACTCTGTTGGTTGACAAACGTTACTCATGTCTGTACAATTGGGAGAACTGGTTACCTGAGAGTGAAAGGATGACAATGAGATAAATTACTGTTTTCTTTACAGACGTATTTCCCATCTCATGGCCTTTGCAGACATGACGCTCCCACTTTTAGGAATTTCTGAACTTTCACATCTCATTCAGAAAGGAAAAAAAAAAATGACAATTAGAATCATACAGGACATGAGATCTAGCTCCACTCACACATGTACTCTTTACCCAGTCAATAAAGAAAGAAAAAAACAACTCAACCCAATACCCCACTTACTTTTATCCAGCTAGGCTATGTTCATTGTTCAGATTGGAAAATTATTACCAAGAAGCTTATCTATTTTTATGAGAAGAATAAAAAAAAATTGCACATCTCTATTATTAATTGGGAACTCTGATGGCATAGTGCCTAAGGTATCTGACTGCTAACCAGAAGGCTGGTGGTTCAAACCCACCGGCCACTCCTCGGAAGGAAGATTGGACGATCTACTTCAATAGAGATACCACCTCGAAAACCCGAGGAGGAGTTGATATGAGTCTATGAATTGAATCGACTTGACAGCAGTGAGTTTTTTTTTTTTTTGTTATTATTAATTATGTAATGATAAAATCAAAGAAAGTTCTTTCCTTATACAGAGGCAAAGTGAAATTAATTGGAAATGGAAAAATCAGCACTGCAAAGCTAAAAAATAAGGAAGGGGGAGAGGGGAAGAGCTTCCTTTCTCATGCATACTCTTCAGCTTTGCTAAAGCCAAGAGAAGTAATGTCAACTTTGAATACCATATTCCTTTAAAATTTGGAATTTCATGGAATTTTTCATTTGTAGTCAGAAGGAGAGAAGGTAAAAGAAAATAAACATGAACAAGTTCTTGGTGAGATTTCCTCTAACTGAAAAGAAATATTCATCATACTTGCCTGCAGTCTGCCAATGGCCACTAGGCAAAATTTGCTTCCCTGGCCCGCTTCTGGGTCATCATCTGGGAGGGAGACACCTTCAGACAGGGGAGGTTAAAAGGTTTAACAGGGAACTCAAATGCCTTCAAAAGTCAGGCAGGTAAAGGACTAACATATATTTAGGTATAAAGAAGCTAAGTATAAAGCTACAGTGATGAATGTTGATTAAGGTAAACAATTACATAGAATTTACTATATGCAAGGCAGTATTCTAAGTATTCACACACACATATTTTCATATATTTTATTCACATTAATTGTAGTAAACTGGAGTGATTATAGATCCCACCCAAGATACTCTACAAAACTATGCTGGGCAAACCAAATACTATCATTGTGTGACCCTATCACAGGCAGCAAATGCCTGGCCCAACCTGTGACTTTTAAAGTAAGCAAATAACAAATAACTAAATATGAAATTATACCAAACACCAAAAGTTATTTATGCCCTTTGGAAAAAAGAGAAGATGCCAATGTTTTATATGGAAAGGGAAGAAGGCTGCATTTCCTTCCCACTCTTTTTACCCAGAAAAATAGTATTTCTTTGAAAGCTATACAGAAATATGCAAGGCCATTTTATCCAAATCACAACAAAATAAAGAAGTATGAAAGACCAAACATATCTCAATGTATGGTTTATACAGTACATAGACTAAAAAGTTTCAATATCATTACTACTTATCTTTTTTTCTTAAATATTATCATTTATTGAGTGGCTACTATATGTCAGGCACTGGGCTGAAGATTTTCCTTACATTAAATTTAATCCTTATAATGGTAGAATATTTTGAAAAAGGATAGCTAATAATGGTGGCACAACATGAAAAATGTCATCAGTGTCTCTGAGCTGTAAATGTGAGAGTTATTATGTTGGCGAATGTCTTGTTTTATAAGTTTTCACCACAATAAAAGTAAAAAAAAAAAAAATTAATCCTTCTAACTCCATAAGGGATTTATTATCTTCAAATTATAAATGAGGAACAAAAAAAACCACTGCCATCGAGTTGATTCTAACTCAGAGCTACCTCCACTGGGTTACCGAGGTGGTGAATATTTACAGAAGTAGATTGCCCCATCTTCTTCCAAGGAGTGGCTGGTGGGTTTTAACCACCAACCTTCTGGTTAGCAGGCAAATGCTCAGGCACTGTACTTCCAGAGCTCCTTGTAAATAAAGAAACTGAGGCTTAAAGAGGGCAAATAACTTACCCTAGGTTGTACTGCTAACATACAACAATGTTAGGACTCAAACTCAGGTTTTTCTAAATCCAAAGTTTATCTCTTTCCAAAACACACCATACCTTGCTTCTCTTTCTGCTATGCTTGTAACTGTCTCCCCACAACCCTTACTTCCCAACATACTCATCCAGAAGGGAAGTGATAAAGTTCCTAAGATTTGGAAATTGACAAAACAGTTTAAAAAGCTGAGCCTTGTACTCCACCCACCTTTCCCACAGTCACTGTTTGACTTTCAAGTTCTCGTAAAGCTACGCTGTTTACAACCCAACTTAAAAACATTGCAGAAAATATTCCCTCTGTAAGTTATCCCACCAAGTCAGTCACTTTCTCCTTCTTCAAAGTCTTGCAATCACTTTAGAAAGCTTTCCCAAATTAGATGCATTCAACTGTTTATTTGCACATAAATGCTTGGAACACAGGTATTCAGTACACATTATTAAGAATTTGGACACTGAAAATTTTATTCTATGATGCAACCAACATAGAATAATTTTCAAGTCTGAGTAATCCATCACCACCACTGGAATATAAGCTTCATAAGGGAAAGTAAGTAGTTTGCTCTTCTTTTCTATTTTCTTCCAGCTTATATCAAAATACATTTCATATGCCAAGTAAAGAATAATTTTTTTTTTTCCCTGGCTTTTTCAGACTAGCTCCTTTCCCTTATTTACTTTTTTTTTTACTTTAAGAGTTTGTTTTACATTCAACATTACATGTACATTTTGTTTCATTCCCCATTTACCATCCTCAACCCTAACCCAGTCTCCTCCCCTCCCTGCCCAGTAACCCTCCCCCGTGCCCCTCACAGTTAAGCACTCCTGAGTGTCCTGCATTTCCTCCATGTGAATGTTGCCCCTCTGGTGCCCTGTGGTCGATTGCTCCCTTTTCCATAGAGTACATGGGTGTGTCACCCTGGGCTGAGTGGTCTGCATGTACATCTTGTTTACTATTGGGCTGAGAGGCAGCCCCTGTGAGTTTTATTCCCAGAATGTATCCCAGGGCCACAGTATTGATTCCATCTGATCAGTAATTCTGGTCATCATTGAGTTTTTGGATTTTATTCCACGTTTTTCTCCCACTCTATACAGGATCTCCAGATTTGATCCTTTCCTGAGTGGTTGGCACTGGTGGCCAGGCACCATCTAGTTCTTCTGGTCTTGAGGGCCATAATGTCCTAGGGCTGATTGCTTCCAAATGCCCTTGGTTTTCTGCTCTCTTCCTCACTAACAATGATAGGAGACCATTAGCTGCAACTTAGATGGCCGCTTGAAAGTTTTTAAGACCCCAGTCGCTACTCACCAATGTAGGATGAGGAACAAGACATTATGTATTTTGTTGTGCCAACTGAGTCTGGTGGCCCCCAGTACTATGGTCCTGAGTCGGTAGATACATTGGATCTCTCTCCCACAGTGTCTGGCTGTCTATGATGGATTACTCTATGTCTGTCTTCTGTTGTTTCTGTAAGGATTGTGATTATTTTGTATCACTTGTATCTGTGCAAGATTAGCCTCTGCTGAATCTATCCTTGGTCTAGAGCATATTCCTGTTCACTAACCCACTATCTGATCTTAAAGAATAAATCTTGACTAATTTTCTTGGATGCTTGAGGAACCTGCTGAACCAAAAGAAAAATCACTATACAACTTTCCTACCTGCTGGGGGCCAGGCCTTGATGTAGCCTGTGCAGTGGACCACCACAAAGTGAGGTTCTCCATCCTTCACAGAGCCAAGTCCATTCCTAGAGCAAGCACAGGTGTCAGGAGAAAACCTTACCCAGTAAAGCTTTTAAAGGGCAATGATGGCTTAGTACCTTTAACTTTAGGCTCTAGAGTGTTTAGAAGTCAGGATAACCAGTGCTTGGACCTTCCCCACCTGAAAGTAACCTCCTTATTTTTGAACCTTGCCAAAGTGAAGCAACTGAAAATTACAGCAAGAGGAAAATTATAGCAAGAGGAAAGTAGGTAAAGCAAGAAGAGAAACTTCCCTGAACAGGATGAACAAGAGAAGCTTTGTTGTTGTTGTTGTTATGTGCCGTCGAGTCAGCCCTGACTCATAGCGACCCCTCCTTGGGTTTCCGAGGCAGTATCACTACGGAAGTAGGATTGCCCAACCTTCCTTCCGAGGAGTGGCTGGTGGGTTTGAACCGCCAGCCTTCTGGTTAGCAGTCAAGTGCCTTAGCCACTATGCTACCAGAGCTCCCTAGAGAAGCTTTAGAGAAGCTTTAGAAGCTCAAAAAAAACCTCAAAATTAAAAAAAAAAAAAAGTAACTGAGAGATGAAGAGTGAGTATGAGGACTGCTAAAGGAAGGACTACAGGAAGATGGGTGAAAAAGTACTATCTCTACAGGTGCCTGGCCATTCCTTTCGTTTTCTCTGTTTAGGACCTCACCTGCATCTGTTCCTCACAAAGCTCAGTCTATTCATGGAGACAGGGTCCACAGAGTTACTGCCACACCTGTTTTAATGAACAGAGATATTAAAAGCAGTTAGGCTATGGAAGCAAAGAACTTTCCATTAGTAGCAGCCAAATAATAGGTTTTGGATACAACTAGACCCAGCTAATTGGTAATAAGGCTGCTAAAAAAGGAAGGATTATGGCAAGTCAGATTTGGTATTTCTAAAACTTAAAAATGTCTTAGAAATTAAAATAAAAATATCCCACATACTCTTCAAATGCAAAGCTTCTACATATATCAGATCAAAAACCAAACCCATTGCTGTCGAATGATTCTGACTCAGAGACCCTCTAGGACAGAGTAGAACTGCCCCCAAGGTTTCCAAGACTACAGTCATTATAGAAGTATATACTGCCACATCTTTTTCAAGCAGATATACATCAGAGGTTGGCAAATTTTCTGTATAAAGGGCCAGATAGTAAATATTTTCAGCCTTATGGGCCATACAGTCTCTGTTGCCACTATTCAATTCTACCATTACAGTACAGAAGCAACCATAGATAATATATAAACAAATGAGCATAAATATGTTCTAATAAACCGTATTTACAAATGAAAGACTATGGTTTTACTAACTCCTGCTCTACACTAGGAGTCCCTAGGTGGTGCAAATGGTTAATGCACTCAGCTGCTAAGCAAAAGGCTGCCAGTTCAAACTCACCCAGAGGCACCTAGGAAGAAAGACCTGGCAGTCTTCTTCCCGAAAATCAACCATTGAAAACACTGTGAGAACAGTTCTACTCTGACACACATGGGTCATCATGGAGTTGGAAGTGATTTGATGGAAACTGTTTTGTTTTTTGCTCTACATTAACTGCAACCTAATTTATTTGCTGTATTTCATTACTATTTATCTTGTTCCTGCCTACATCTTTGCATTAGCCATTCTACATAATGGGACACACTCTCCCATGCTCTCTACTTTCCCTGTCTTATTTTTTTAAATTATAATAATAGATGAAAATTTATATAGAGTTTAATGTGCCATGAACTATTTTAAGCACCTTTACATGTATTAATTCATCTAATTCTCATAACTTCAAGAGGTCGGTATCAATATTACCCCCAATTTTAGATGATGAAACCAAAGCAAAGGGTAATCATGAATTTGCCCAAGGTCTTAGAGATAGTAAGTGGCAAAGCTAGTATTAAAATCCAGCAGTCCAAATCTAGAGTCCACTCTAAACCACTAAGCCACATAATATTCAATTCTGTGCTTCTCCCAGGAAATCTTTCCTAATAGCCTATTCATCATTTCTATTGAGCATCTTCTTAGTACAATATAGCCAATTTCCATTACACAACCAGCATTTATTTTGCAATTTTGAGGTATTTTTTTCTCCCTATACAAAAAGGACCATCATACTTTTTACGGAATCCTAAAATGTATAGCATAAATTGATAAATACTGATGGAAAGATATATGGAAGGCTTACATTTCTAACAACAACAACAAAATGCAGAAATGGTCTAAGTACATGGTTGTTGCCTCATGATGGGAAAAATACAGGTTTTGGAGTCAGATAAATATGAATTAAAATAAAATCCTGTATCACATACTATCTATGCAATCTTAGAGGGTTAATTTCTTTCAGTCTGCTTTTTCATTGGCAAAACAACAATCACAAATCAGTTGTGAGGATAAAATGAGGTAACAGACATAAAGCATCTATATCACAGGTTCCAACCTAGAAGAGTTCAGTAAATGTTAGTTCCATTACCAAACACTTTATTCTGTGTTACAACCCATCTGGGTCTTGAGTGTTAAATTTAATTCAAATGGAACTTGCATTTAAAAGTTTACCTCCTCTGACCAGGAATCAAACCCTTAGTTCTTGGTTCCTCCAATGTCCTATGTCCTAATTCTCAGCCTGACACTTACCTCATACGGCAAATAAATGATCTCCTTGAACCCATACACATCCTCATGGAAGACTGTTGACCTTCCTTTTTCACTGTTCCAGTCTTTAGATCCAGGATGCGCCCTGGAGAAGGAAGTGAAGAGCCGTGTGGAATGTATGCTTGTGTGTGTGTGTGTGTGTGTGTATGTCTGGGGGAGGGGAGTTGTCGGGGAGAATAGTGGAGGCAAAAAGAAGCAAGCATCCTATTCATGCTCTATAATCTCCTTGCTTTTAACAGAATAAACCAACCAGAGGATGGAATTTTTTTCAAGCCTAAAATACCTCAATTTCCATCAATGAATATCATCTTAAGTTCAAAGGCAGTACTGAAAACAGCCTTATGCAAATGAAACACGAGTAGGGGAGTAGTGCTGGCAAGTAAGGGGCAAGGCTATACATAGTCTTCTACCTGATAACTTTTATACACACACATACACTGAATGAATGTCATTGGTTTAAAAACAATTTTATATGCTATAGAAGCACATTTATCTCAAGCCAACATTGTTCCTTCTGCTTATTACTGTGGTACAGTGAATTACTTGGTATGGCTAAAAAATGTAACTTCCATCACATTACTGGGTGGGACCAAGCAAATAAGGTGTGTAGAATTCTGATGCTGGGATTGGTTAGTTTTGTCACTTTGCCCGTCTTAAAATGAGCTTTCCTAGAGGCAGAAAAGGGGATCTCACTGCCATCAAGAGAGAAGAGCTGGAGGTGAAGTGGAGCACGTCCTTGGACCCGAGATCCTCACAATGGACCTTCCTAGCTGAAGAGATGCCCGGCAGAGATGCCCGGCTGAGACATGGCAGGAGAGGAACCAAGAGGCAGGAGACAGAACAGTAGGCTTTCTGGCCCATGGAACAAGAAAGCTGAGTGCCCTTGAGCAGGAGGCTGACTGGTGGAGTGGAGTGCACGTAGGTGTCCCTATCAGCAGAGCTAAAAGCTTTTTAACACTTCCCTGAGCAGGGCACAGGCCAAGTGCCAGAGAGGTGAGCCAGAGGGCACAGCACAGGGGAGACTGTCCTGACTAAAGAATTATATCCTGAGTATATTCCTGAACCTGATTTGTAGCCTATTACTTCCCTAATAAACTCCATAATCATGAGTACTGTCTTTGAGTTCTGTGTGGCCACTGCAATGAAATATCGAACCCAGCAAAGAGGTACTGAGTGCCACAGAAGGGAAGGCTACTGTCAGAATTAGTAAAAAGGTTGGAGGGTGGTGGTATGTCTGGCTTCACAGGAATAAGCCTTGGGCTATTGGTGGTGACTCTGTTTCCCCCTCATGAGACTAGAGGAAGTCAGAAGATGCTGCCCTACGCCTTTTTTGGAATTATAAAGAAACCAAGGGTGAATTTTGGGAAAAGGAAGAACTAGAAAAATGAAATTAATGAAAACATAAGAGGGAAAAACTAAATACCAACATGTACATAACTAAACAGAATTTCTCATATTTCATTTTAACTCCCAATTTTAACCTGCTTCCCCCTTTAAACTTTTCTCCAGAGTTGCTTAGGATTAGATGTGACTTGTTTCCTTTAGCCAAACTCTGGCAAAGGGCTAAACAGCATTAAAATTGGAAGGGGAAAAAAAAGAATAAGCCAGAAAAAGAGTATAGATACAAAAACTAATCAAACAACAACAAAAAACTTTTGTAACAGTGACCAATAAGCACCCCCACTAAAATAAAATAAAAACCTGTTATCACAGAACACAAAGCCAAGTACAAGGGAAAAGAAAAGTTACTTGGTAATTACCCACACATGAGATGGAAGCATAGTAGATTTCATTTAGAATGTTAAAAAAAAAAAAAAAACTGTAAGTCTGATTTTTTTCACTGTTTTATCTACACTAATATTAAGAAAAAACATAAGCTTTTATATGCACATTATCACTATTATAACATTTTCTAAGGAAGAGCTACAAAGTAAATAACCTGCAATTGTATAAAAAAAGCTAACTGTACTCATTGAGGGAGAAATTACAAGAAACTGTACTAGAGTCACCAAGCCAATTTAGGAGCTAAAAGACCTCTTCTGCTTCCGGGAAAAAAAAAAATAAAGACTTCCCATTAATTTCCATCTACTGAAATGCTCACCTGTCAGGGCATTTTCAGAAGTGGAAAGCTGCTCACGAAGTTTGTCCACATCATCTGGGTGCACCTGATCATAGAGTGTGCTGCCAAACCATTCAGACTGCGGCTGGTTCAAAACAGGGGTCACGGAGTCAGAGACATATACCACTCGGCCTGTCTCACATGAGACAATAAACAGAAAGCCATCTGCTGCCTCCAAGATCAAATGTTTTAGTTCCTGCCCAAGGAAAAAAAAGAAAAAGATAAATTAATATTGAACTCTGGAAAATCAACGCAGCTCTAGTGGTGTAGTGCCTAAGGCACTTGACTGCTAACCAGAAGGCTGGCGATTCAAACCCACCAGCCAGCCACTCCTCGGAAGGAAGATGGGACAATCTATTGCCGTAGCGATACTGCCCGGGAAACCCAAGGAGGGGTCGCTATGAGAGCAATGGCACATAACAAGAATAACAACAGAAAATCAAGTATTTCTATTCATGTGAAGAACCAAGACTCTTCAGGCCATACCTGATCCTCAGCTATAACCTTACACCCTAACTGAAATTATCTTCACTGATTAAGATAGTTCTACCAACAGACAGTTCCTCAATTTCTGTTACTATCCACCTCCTCCTCTTTATCCCAGGACTCAAAATAGGTAATAAAAAGGTTTACCACTAACAATTATTTGAGATCCCTCTCCCATCTCTTTTTAGGATCTTCCTCTACAAATATTCCTACTTTCTCTTTCTTTCCCCTTAGCCCTATCAACATGACCAAATTTCCTCAAATCTATACAAACCTTCCCTCAACTTTGCCCAATTCATATCTCTTCTTCAGTGCGAAGCTTACACTAAGACTAATGTTATATTTACTGGCTCTATTTTTCTGACTTTTCATTTTTCTCAATCCCACTGGAATCTTCACTCTAAAACACTGTCTTAATGTTTTTAGGAGTTTACAATGTCCTCCTATTTGCCACTCAAATCCTTTTTCTCGGGTCTTCATTTTATTCTACCACAATGGTGCCCATTCTATTGTTTAAACTGTATATTCTTCTTTCTTCTATGACACTGCACTTCAACTTTTGCTTCTTTGCCAAATGTTTCTTTTCTGCTTCAGGCTTTGTGCAAGTCTTAAATGTAGATAATTTTTCAAGGTTCTATCTTAGGTCTTTTCTATTCATACCATACTCTCTTCACGGACAATCACATCTATGACCACCCACTATAAAATGATACTCAAGGCTATATCCCTAGACTTGCCTAATTTTTTTTCCCTTGTACTTTTAGCAGACCAAAACTCCAAGAATATGTTGAACATTCAGATAGATATTCTACCAGCAACTCAATTTCAACATCTTAAAACCACACTCATTATTTGCCCCCTCTAAAACATAATCTTCTGCACTCTTCCAGGATTCTCCTTCTTAGTTAATAGCATCACCTTCCACCTAGGCTAAAAATCTCAAAATCTATTTTCCTTTACATTCCAGTGATAATTCAGTCTTATCAATACTATGTCACTGTTCTAGTCATCTTACACCAAGCCTAATAAAGTAGTCTCCCTGCTTTCACTCTAACCCATCCTTAAAATGTTACCAGATCTACTAATGTATCTTTGATGACTCAACACTGACTACAATTTAAAATCTAAATTCTTAAACACCTAAATATTCCCAAAAAACAGCCCAAGCCTTCTCTTGTCATCTCCCAAAGCATACTAAAATACCTGAATGTTCTTGAATAATCCAATCACTCTCATACCTCTATGGTTTTGCTCCTGCACTTGCCAAAATCTATACTATTCCCCAAATTCGTTTTTCTGTATCTGTACAACTACAGGATGTATTACTGCATGTTGTTTATAGGACTGGTTGTGTTTGTATTATTACTTTTTCACATGCCTATCTCCATCAGTGACTAACTTTTATCTTTATATTCCTCACAGCTCACAGCAACTGCCTTGTCTATAAAAGGTGTTTTAACCTGCAGTTTGTTAAATCAATGTCTACATGTGTACTTTGGAACCAGTAGACTCTTTCAATGTACATACCTACAAAATCTGTGCTACATGTGTTTTCAAATATTATCCCCCTTCTTGGGAACCTGTTCTTATGCCTTCCTCCTAATCTTTTGATTAGAATGGTAAAATTACTGATAGATTTTTTTCCCCTTTCCTTACATTCCTGGATTTTCCTTTTTTTTTTTTTTTTCCTTTCCTGCAATGAGCATTGTTTTATTTTTAATAAACAAAATAGAACATGGCTTCTTTATGCCTAGAAATCTTCCCTGACCATCTTTACCTGGTTTGGTCATTTCATTCTCTTTAACCATTCCTCCAATACAGATTTATCGAATTCCATATATATTCTATTTTTCACTTATGTGTTTATCCTGCCAATCACATATTATACTCAAGACTAAATTCTTGAAAGACGGGATACGTTTCTGCCTTCTTTACATTTCTCACATTGCATCAAATGTAACAGCAGATCATGTCCCTGAGCAACAACTGATTGACACTTTTCATCACTAAAAGTGAAAGATGCTTCAGGGACAACAAATAGATTCTTCCATTCTCTATAACCCTAAAACCTAATAAGAGGACTACTCCCATGGACTTAGCAGTTGTTCAGTAAAAATTTAACAAGGATGCAAAAGAAAAATCAAGATTGTCATCAAAGAATTCCCTTAGTTATACCCTCTTTTTGTGCTTCTATCATTCCTCTTCTACCCTGTGGTGGTATTCATGAGTCAAATTCTCAAATACTTACCAGCTTGCTGAATAGTTTCACCAGTCTTCTCTACTTCTCACTGCCCTAAATGCTAGTAAATGCTGTAACTAGGGATCAAACAAAAGAAGCTAAGTGTCCACTTTTAGAGCAACTCACTTTCTCATGGTTTGAATTTTTCCTGAACAGCTGAATTCTTTTCCTTTAAGATGTCTACAAACTCAGTTCTGCCTTGATCTCTATAATGCACTACTCAGGGTTATAGTCATCTGTCTCAAAAAGAACAAAACTTGTAACAGATTCACCCAGGTTCTAGAATCCCTCAGAGCTGTGGGTCCCAGAGACCTGATCAGTGAGGAAAGATGGTTTATAGGTGCCATCAGTGGATGTGTTGCCAGTTCCCCGCAAAGACTTCATATGAGAAACTGCCATGCGTAAGATGGTTAGCTTGTCAGGTTTTCGAGCCAGGGCACTACAGGTGGGTACCATGTCTGATAGTTCTGTGATGTAGGCTGTCATCTTATTTCGTCGCCGCCTTTCAATTTCACTATGATTTTCCCTGCATGGAGAGAGAGAGAGGAGAAACCCACCCAGATGGTCACATCTGGCCATTTGGTAACAGGAACAACATGGATGGATACAGTAAGCTGCTGAAAAATGTGGTATTTAGATTTAGTGGCATTTAATTCTCAGAAGTTACAATAAGGGTTGCAACTTTCTCATGCAGAGCAAGCATGGAATAGAAACTAACAGGACAGAAAGAGAACAAGCAGACGCCAGCAATTCTTTTAGCTCCTAGAAACTTCACTTCCTATATAAATTACCACTGCTTCAGAACAAAAGAAAAAAATGTTCTAAGAAATGGTAGTATTAAAAAATGTTGATTTAACTTGCTTAAATTCCTGAGAGACAAATAATCTGTTTGGTTGACTCCATGTTTACTAATAAAACATTTTAAAGGCTAATTCAACATCTTAATTCATGTTGTAAAGAAATATGAAATGATCAATTTTTTCTAATACAATTATGCTGGCCAACACCTGATGTAAGATTCAATAGTTCAGATAAAATGTTACTTCATTTTAAGCTTCTCCTTTACTCCCAACACTGGAAGGCAAAATTGGAAGATTCTGAAGTTTTATTTTTCCCACTTCACAAAAGCCCACTTTATATATATGAATCTAGTGCCAAGGCACTGAGCTTTTCAAGAGGTTGTAAGATACCATCTACTAGATGTCCCCATGGGGCCCCAATTTGGAATTAAGTGAACTGGGAGGTGGGAGTAGATTAGGTAGAATGCTGAAAGACCTGAAAATACACAATTTGGATCTAATTAGGCTAACCAGACCACATCTCTAACACTGCCTTCCTCAAAATTGATCACTACTAAAATGTAGTAGTTTTCAAATTGGATTTTTTAAAAGCCTTGTAGGTTCTCCTCAGTCTCCTCCAAGGGAAAGCCTCAAGGAGATTACCAAACAACATGCCACCTTTCCATGTCTACTTAATCTTTTTACTTACTTCCATTTCTACTTAAGCAACCAAACCAAACCTACTGCCATTGAGCTGATCCCAACTCACTGCATAAGGATTCTGTTTTAACAAAACATCTGTGGCAAAAGTGAAGAAAAAGTACACTATTAATCTGACATAAAACTCTTTTTTAGAGAAATTAAAGTCAAATGATTAAGTTACTTTTCCAAAGGTTTCCCTCTTTCCCAATTCAATGCTCTTCTCATCATACCATCCCATTTCAGTTTTAATGAAGAATGAAAAGCTTAGTAGGGGGACTGGGTTGAAATGGCAGCAAAAGGAGCTTACAGTTCAGCTAAAGGAGTTAAGTGATAGATAATGGGAGGTGGGAGAGATCAGCAAATGTAATTGTTGGCATTAATGATCCATCTCTTACTGAATCATTCCAAATCAAGAGAATCAAAGAATTCCCTTAGTTATACCCTCTTTTTGTGCTTCTACAATTCCACCATTCCATCAGAAAAGCATGGGCATAGTATTTCTTACACTATGGACAACAACAGAGCAGAAAAAGAACTCTAGAGTCTCCTTTCCAAACAGCAAAAAAGCCTCACCACATAGGTCCGCACTTAATTATTTTGCCTGAGACACATAAACTTAATGTATCTACCTTCCTAGTATCTGAAAGATTTCTGACACGTGAAGTCCAGAAAGCTGATTTTCTCAATAGCCTATTAAGGCTGCTAAACTTTTTTGGGAAACCACAAAATTCAATCACCAAAGCAAAACAGCACTGTTAAAACAAAGTAATGCCAGTGAGTCTACATATGAAAATGAAAGTGAGAGTTCTAGAGATGTAGAGTAAATTGTGAGAACTAATCATGAACACAGATATATTTGTTGGTTTTCTGATGAAGAGTATTTCCCTGCTAAAACATTTTGGCATAGATGCATTGTTTCTAAAAGCTTTCTGTTCTATGAAACTTTAGTGCTGAGACCAAGAAAAAACTACAAAGCACCTATTTTCATATGGGAGAAGCCAAATTTCATATTACACACAAACTGAAAAAGAACTCTTGCTGACATAGTGCCTAAGGTATCTGACTGCTAACCAGAAGGCTGGCGGTTCAAAGCCACCAGCCACTCCTCGGAAGGAAGATTGGGCAATCTACTTCTGTAGAGATACTGCCTTGGAAACCCAAGGAAGGGTCACTATGAGTCGAATTGACTCAGTGGCAGTGAGGTTTTTTTTGGTCCTCTCTTACCAAAGATACAAACAAACACAAAGAGAAAGAGGTAGAAAACAGAATAGGAAAAAGGCTAGAGAAAGTAGCAGCATCTGCTGCATCATGCTAAAAGACACTGTTCTCATACCTGGCGAGTCTCTCTTTATCCGCAGAGCTCTGCTCGTCATCCGACCTAAAAACAGAATTAATGAACTAAGCTAAAATTAAAATAAAAAGAAATGACAGAAAGAAGAGGAATGAAGAAGAAGAAAAGAAAATCGAAAAGAGGCAGAGAAGGGGGGAAAATGGAAATATGGGCAAGAACCTTGCCTGTAACTCCACAAAGCCACCTGTTAGGATAAAGAAAAAGTAATTTACAGGGCAAAGGTCCACATAAAAAGCCAAGGTCAATATTTATTGTCATTTAAAATAATCAGAACACAGAAAGCATTTTGCTAATCAATCTCTGTAGAAACTAAGGATATACAGAATTTAATGAGAACCAATCAGAAATGCAGGAATATCATTCTCACAAACTTATCCCAATCTGGAAAGAACATGATACACATATGTGCTATTCTAAAATTAAAAAAAAAAAAAAAAAAAA